TTTTATAGTCGTGTGTATTTAGTGAATATGCTTTTCGAACTAGTGTTTCGATTCGTACTGCTATTTGCTTGATGGTTTCGTTTGGTAATCTGCGAATTTCATTACATAAAACTCTTTGTTGTTGTTTGTTTCTTTCGGAGTCAAACATTTTTGAAAATTCTTGTGTAAATCTTTTCCAGTTTGATTTTATTTCTTGAGGTAGTACTGAAAACCATTTTTGGGCTGCGCCATCTAAGGTTGTTTGTATTAACGCTGTGCGTCGATGTATCCAATTTTGATGTAGTGGCGTATTTATTGGTTCAGGTCCGATATTTAAAATCAGGTTTGCTGTTACTGCATTTAAATAATCTTCTACAGAGTATTCAGGGTCTGTTCCTGTGAAAACCATTAAAGGTTTGTTTGATGTTATTGATGATCCACCCATAAGGTATGGATTCATTGTCATTTGTAATGATTCTGCTGCATTTGGCATTTGAGAAAAATTTGAAAGTTGGTTTCTTGTTATTTCATGTTGTTGAAGATAATATGGTAGTGGTATTTCATTTTGCATTTGTGATGGTTGATACGAGTGTGCAATCATTGGATTTTGTTGTTGAATTGGTTGAAAGGATTGTGTATTAATTGGATTTTGTTGTTGAATTGCTTGTTGATGTTGTGCATCTATTGGTTGTGGAGAAAAATTCCTATGATTTATACGTGTTTTCTGTATTCCTTGTCTACGATATTCTTGAGTATTTTGTGCAAATATATTTGGTTGTAGGAAATCTTCATCTGAGGATAAATAATCCATTTGATAAGATGTTTGTTTTTTATTTTTATTTTGTTGAAAAAATGGGTAATTTTCACTGCGATCCTGTGGAGGATTTGGTTGAAAATTATTTGAATTATATTGGGCTGTTGGGTTATCCCAGTTTCGAGGTTTTGTATATTGATTAAAATTCCTTTGTGGTTGATAATTTGTTTTTGACGGATGTGTATAATTATAATTATGGTCTGCAAAATTGTTTCTAGTGAATGTTTTGCGTGTTTTTGATGGTATTGTCACGGGTTTGTATGTTTGATAATCCATATGTGAATATTTAGGGGCAACCGAAGGTTTTACGGTTGATTGTAAGGTTACCTGTGTTTGTGAAGGATTTGTATTTCTTGGTGTTGTTAAATTTGGGCGTATTGGTGAAATACTTTGTTGTGTAGTTGTTGTGTGTACAATTTCTTCATTTATGAAGTGTGATGGTGTCTGGATATCTTGTTGAGTAAGATTCCTAGTTCCATTGAGGTTTTCATTGTGTATGACTGTAGAGTTTAAACTATTATTTTGTGTATCGGGTAAAAATGTATTATAGTTTAATGGTGTTGCATCAATTGTTAATGGTATTACTCTTACATAGTCTCTTATGTAAGATATTGTACCTATTGCTTGACTTGAGATTGATTGTGGGAAGCTTATAAATGCGGGATGAGACCATTCGGGGTCCCAAACATAATCTGATTGTTCTGTGATAGCGGTTTCATCGTTCGGATTTTGGGGTCTAAAATTTTTTCTTGCTTGTGCAATTAAATCAATATTGTGTGTGAAATAATCTATTATGAACCATGCTAAAATTTTTTGTAAATCGTGTCTGGTATGTTGTGAAACGTCGTCTTTCGTGAAATTTTCTTTAATGACGTTCAAATAACTAGAGAGTAGTGTGATTTCATGTCGTACTCTTAAATGTTTAGATGTGTCTGTCGGTGAGACATTTGTTAATGGTAGTTCATTTTCTAATATTGAAATATAACTATATATTATTGCGAAAACTTCATTGGTGAAAATGGAGTTTGCTCTTTGTGAGTTATGGTATTGGATGCTTTTTATATATTCTGAAAAGACTTTTGAAAATTCTAAATCGAGATCGTCTGTTTGAATAGTATATGTTCTATTATTATGGTTTGGGGAAGTGAATTCTATAGAGTAGATTCCATACTGTTGTGTTATGTTGCATATATCTTTTAGATAGTGATCTATGATTTGTCTTTTGATTTTTACATCGGGGAACTCTGTTTTACATGGACTAATTCCGGGTTCAAATAAATTTATGAGTAAATTTTGACAAAATAAGTGTTGTCCTCTATCAGTATCTGCGTCTACTATAAAGGGAAAGATTTCATCATCATCTGGAGTTTCTTCACCTGGAGTGTGTGTTGAGCTCATTTTTTCGTTCGATGACTGTTAATATGTAATTATTAATGTGTCGAATTGGTTGATTCCAATTGTATAGATGTACTGGTTTGTGTTTGTACTGCTTTTTTATTCTTCTTTTTCCTCTTTGTGATGAATTTGAAGTTGTTTCTGAGTCAGAAAAATATAATTGATCGTGAAGTGGGTAATTTTTATCTACTGATTCTTTTAGTTTGTAAAGTTCGTCTAAACTGTTGGTTTCTGATTCTGAAAATGCGTTTCGATTCTTTGAAAATCTTTTTCGTGTTATTTGTCTTTGTTTAGTTATTATTTTTCTCTTTAGTGTTTGTCGTTTTGTGCGAATGTATCCAACTGTTTGTGTATGAGGTGTGATTACAAGGTCGTATTTTTTGTTATCTATTTCACAATTGTGTAAAATGATTGTTTGTTTATTTCCTAGGTTTTTAAATGACATAAGGTTTAGGATGACGGATGCAAAAGGTTGTTAAATGATTTCTATTTTCTTAAACTGTTAGTTCTTACGATTTTTTGGTTAGCTTAACCTGGGTCTTTTTGTTCAGGGTTGGAGAGAAAAGTATATCGATTCCGGAGAATGATTTTACTTTCTCGTGACTAGTATAAGCTAAGGTGTTAACTTACTTAATCTTACTTAAGGGAGTGATTGTGTTCAAGGGTTGGAGAATAGTAAATCGATCCACAAGGTTCAGGTATAATTAGAACGCGAGTAGTTCGTTAGGTACTATTTTAAACTTACTAAGTCTAAGATTTATCCTGGGTCTGGTAAGAGGGGGGGTCAAGTGAAGGATGAATAACCGAAGTTCTTCACTGCTTATCCTAATTTGAATGATTAGTTTTGTTTAAAAATTTCTATTAGTCTTGGGTTTTTAGAAAGGGTTGGATAGTGAATCGACGTTTGAGGTCGTTAGACACTAATTAAGTGGGTGGGGGAGAACAAAGTTGTTCTGTTTGATCCAAGGATAAGCCTTGATGATCAAATTTAAAATTTAATTAAGTAGAAAATGATTTAAGATCCAAGGATAAGCCTTGATGATCTGGTTTTAAAATTAAGTGACTTTAAGTTTTAATAATGTTTTAATTTGTGTAAAGTAAAGATTTAGTGTTTTTATGATATTAGTGGGTTTGATGATTGCTGTTATGTTTTAGGTGATGAAGCTGGAACAACAGGATGATTTATGATTACTAACCATTTATTGTCATGCTACTAATTTTTATTTTTATTTTCCAATAAATATTTTTCAAACATGTTTTGTATAATACTGCAGAATTTTAAGAAAACGATCTTAGATCTTTTTATCAATCGTTATTGTATAATATTAATTTTGTTTAGCGCCTGAAATGATTTTGAAGATTAGCTTCAAGGTTTTATGTTTGCAAATGGAAATCTAAATTCATTGCAAGTAGTATTCGAAATATAAAAGTTTGTTCTGGCTTTTGCCGAACTATCATATAACTATACGGCAAGTTTCTACTTTGTCGTATGTCGTCTTTGGTTCGATGTCTTCTTCCAATTCCGGGTAGTTCTATTATGGTTCGGAATATTGGCTCTGATCTATTGAGTCGGAGAGACATTTCAATTAAATTATTGTCGTATAACATTTTGTAAATGTTTTTGTCTAATTTCTAATCTATTCTTGGTTAATTCTAATCTAATAAGGTCTTGTTCGAGACTTATGGTCGCACCAGATGAGTTAGAACCGAAGTGTAACTCATAGAGTAATTTCGGATAGGGTACACCGTCTGCTCGTCACGCTATCTTATTTTCGGCCGGATAGATTCGTGCAACTTCTTAGTCTAATACCGATCCTAATCTTACTCTTATACTATCTAGTCTCAGGTTGTTTAACTAGTCTCTGCTAGGCTCAATAGATCTAGGGTATACTGGTTTATTGCGGCTGCTGAAGTGCTCGGGAGAGTCCAACTAATTTCTAAGTTAAATTCAAATCTCTCTGGTGCTGAAATTACAAGTAACTTCAGCACTTACAAATAAGTGGGTTGTTAGTTAGATGGATCATGATTGGTTAATATTAAATACTTTACATTGGTAAAACATTTAATTTATCCAATCATAAAATATAGTTTAGATCAGGTTCCAACTTATACCTTAATCTTTCAAAATAGGAAAAACACAATGTACATCAATTGAGAACATAAATTTAAAGAAATAAATACAAGCAAAGATTAAGCACAAGATGAAAATTAGGTAATAGCTAAGAGCTGTCCATATAAAAACTCATGGCTAAATGTCACAGAGCTTCGAATCAGGGCCTCCTTTTAGTATAAACAATTCTAAAAAAACTCAAGAATTAAAAAAACTGAGTGTTGAAATTTAAAAAATCGTGAGAATCATTTATCAGTTTAAGGGGAATTCCACCTTATTTGTCCATTTCCAAAAGTTTTTGTGCAAGTTTGGTTTAAGCTTGATTATGTTCGACTGCCAAAAAGATTTAAAAATACCGGTGTTTTGAGAGCGTGCTTCTGTTTTATTTCAAAAAGTTCAGTTGTTTCAGTCGAATGAAGTTTATCAAAAAATTTGATAAATAGTAGGTTTTTATTTGCTGAGAAACATACTATTTTTTTCTTCAAGTATTCGACTGATTTGTTTTTACGAAGTTTATGCGCACACATTCTTCTAGGGGATGGGGATGAGTGCATTTTCGAAGGGATGTTTATAAAACATTCGAGAGGTCGTCTGCAAAACATTCGAAGGGATTTTTGTAAAACGTTAAAATAGTCGCTATAGAACCCAATCCCCCCCCTCTTAGTCTGCGTTCATGTGTACAGCAAGGGTGATATTTCAGACATGCCAGCTTTGCTGAATTCGGACCGGATATGTGAATTGACTCCTCATTACGACTTCTACTATTTGCGCAACACTGCTTGGACTTTCCAACTTGATCTTGATCCGAACAACGATGTCTGTGGAACACAGCAATCTATCGACAACGACGGAGACCTGAGCGACATTCCCACTGTCCGAGAAGATGAGCTTCGTGAGTTTCCCAACATCTAGATTAACACAGTACTTGTACCAATATTTCTAAAGAACTTTAGCCAAATATTCTCGGTTTTCTTTTTTTTTCTCCAGGCAAAACTCAGTCGACTGAATTACTAGTGTTGAATTTAGAACGAAACTTTACAATCTCATTTGTAGATTTCAAAGTTATCTTCTTCTTGCAATCATAGTACAACAGTTATGTAGTGATACGAAATTTTTTACTGAAATTCTATACTGGCGTGTTCACTCATATTACTTACTCGCGTTTTTTACTCCAACACGAAGGTAATCAAATATTTATGCTCGGGGAACCTTTAAACTAGCGCCTTTTCAACGAAACTTTTTTCATGTCCAAAAAATACTAATGTCATAAGCTTAAAATTTCGTATAATTAGTGCGCGCTATTAACCAATTTTTAATATATATCATAAAATATATATAATAAGTGAAACGATCTTTTAAAAAAAATTGCCCGCTTATTCAGCACCTTACGTTAACATTTGGGCGATCTTTCAGCTCCTTTTGTCAAAAAATTGGCCTCATTCAGTCCATTTTTTTAAAGAAATTTGGGATCAATCAGAGAAAAAACCAAACCAGACTTCAAAAAAAGTGACGGAAATTTTGTGCTTGTTGTTTATTTTCTCCAGTAACTTTGAATTTTTAAATATTAATTTTAAATTAATATTTTTTAAAAATCATCTAAGCAGTTTTGAAGTCTTGAGCTCAAATTAAAAAATCTTGAGGTTACATTTACTTCTGTGATTTTTTTAGTAAAGTTGGGAGCGGTTAAAAATTTACATTTTTGAACAATTTTTGATAAAAAAGCGAAAACGCAACGTGCTATTACCGCGTATTGGGTGACATAATCCAGCTCAGAGTTCGTTTCAAAATGAACCGAGGCGAGCCACCCGGTTTGACCACAAATGCTAATCATACAGTTTTCATATATGGAAAAATGCTAGTCATACACTTTTCATGCAATTCCATAAGTACAAAAAATTGCCTGAAAAGTCCATGATTTTAAATTTTTCATATATGGAAATTTTATGACTAGCATTTTCCCATAAACCAAAAAAAAATTGATTTTTTAAAAGTTTAATTTCTCAAAAATTTTGGAATGTGTTCGTGATCGAACACTAGTGACAAAAACCATGGTTTACTCAAAACTATAGTCACCAAAGGTTGGATTGTCTCGAATTAATAATGCATTGGAAACGAATTAAACTGTGTAGGAGTTTTTTTACACAAATGATATACTGAAAGCATCAAACTTTTAATTTTTGGCAAACGTTTTCGATGATGATTTTTTTCAAAACTTGAGTTTTTACATTATCAGACAACGATCAAGGCATACACAAATGTGCCATTCAAAAGAAATAGGAGTTACTAGCGTCTTTGAAAAAAAGTTTTCCAGAGAAACGGAAAAAAAAATTCAATTTTTGTGTATCCAGGACTACATTATGCACACAAAAAAAATACATGCAAAAAAAATTTCTTTTGGAAAATGTTTTTTGAGTACGAAATTCGATTTGCGGATGAAAAAAAAACGAAGCAAAATGTATGAAAATTGTATGAAGAGTATTTTTTCATAGACTTAGTTCATTGAATTGTATGATTAGCTTTTTGGTCTATGGAGGTCAACCCGGGTATTTAGTGTTATTAATAACTTACTAGATGCTGAAATCAATCTTTCCTAGTTGATATAGCGCGTGGGGGATTTTTCAAACAAAAATCTGAATAATATTTTCAAAACTTTTTATTGTTTTTTGAAAATCATCACTTTTATAAAAAAAAAAAGATATTTCGTAGACTTTAAGACAGTTGGAATATCAAAAAGTAGAAATTGTATCGCTCAAATTTGATTGGATGAAATTGATTGCGTTGTCTAAAACATAATCCGATAAACTATTGATGCCCTGTTGAGCATTGATGCCCCGTTCGATTTTTTGGCGAAAGAAGTAACAAGATTCCTTGTGTTTTTTTGAATAACTATACATTTTATTTTGTAGCGGAAATTTTTAAAGTATTTGAAACAAGTTGTTACAATTAATACTAGTTTGACTCTTTGAATTTGTAAAGATCCGTAATAAGTAAACTAAAGCTAATATAATAAACTAACATAAAACTAGTTATACTTACTATTTTTAAACAAAGTATACAGTCGTTTACTTGTGTTCAGACCATTGCCCCGCTGCAATGAATATGGCAAAATATTTGGGTACTGTTCAGAAATTATAGCGAAGGGAAAAATATAAAGGCTTGGGGTAGTTTTTTTTTCTGATAGGGTTTTGTAGAGTGGGGATCGAACCTAGAATTTACAGAATGCTGAACGGTTGTGCTATGCACTAGCTTAAACCAGGTTCAGCTACCGCAAACTGCTTTCTCAGTGCCTTGAAGACTATCTATGATGTTAAAAGCTTATCAAAAAGAATTATTTGTTTCCGAATTAAAAATGATCTGAATTGCACTCAAGCAGGCTGATTGGTTAATACGACTCAAACTTTAACGCTTATCATTTAAGTCAAGAATTTAATTCCATCAATATTTTATTTGGGAAAAACTACTGAAGACTATTTAAATTTCTTACTACTGACGAATATACTATTTTTGAGGTGCCGCTTGCCAAAAAACGCGATTATTTGGTCGAATATTTCAAAAAGTGCTCAAAGTCGGCCTGCTTCAAGAGTCTTTTCAGTGATTTGGGAGAGCTCGGAAAAACAACCGTAGCTTGAAATCGTAGTTTTATTTTCTTCAGACGGTTTTCAAGTTTTCAGACCAATTACTAATACTTTTTCTAGCTCCCTTCTTCGACCATGCCACAGTGTACTGGCAGGTGGTGACCCGAGAACGCGACGACGGAGCCGGAGGAGGAGTCGGCGGAACTTTTAATGGACAAAACGGAGCAGTTATCAGTCGCGCTGGTTAGTTATAATTTTAAAGTGGCAGTGTAATGAGTTGATAACCCGATAACTAAATGACTAAATTAAGCTATGAGGAAAAACACGTACATAAACAAGTGCGTTTTTCAGAAGCTAAATGACGTCTAGCTTCCATGAAGTGTTTAGGATGCGTGTTCAGTGTTAATGATCTTTTTTGTATCGGGAATTTGAAATTAATTAAAGCTCGGTTTTTCAACTCGTTTTCTCAGATGTAGAATTGAATAAAAAACAATTCGCTCACACCTCACTTAATCTAAGATGCTTACCCTCTTAGCCAGAAAACAAAGGGTTAAATCTCTTTGTTACAGTAAGGGTTACAATCATGTTAAAATACACACAATAGGAGTATGCTAGTGAGATTGGTTAGCCAACTCGACAAATAGAAAGGTAAACAAGACTGCTCGTATTAGGGCGAAGCCCTGAATGTTTCGACTGCCTTTTAAGGTTTTATGGAGCAGTAACAACGTCAAAAAATATACGTAAGAAATAAAATAAAATAAAAACATTTTTTTTTCTTCTAAAATTTGAATTTTTTAATGAAAATCATCCCCCACACGCCATATCAAGTACAAAAGGATAGATATCTCTCCTTGTAACCAATCAATTATAGCAATAAAGCTTCTTTTAACCAATTTGGAACGATTTTAAGACGGATTAAATCTCCGCTTACGCGTTAATAGCGCGAAATATATCGCGCGTTAATTGTCCCAAATTTACCAAAATGGCAATCTTTAAACCCCCATAACTTTACGAAAAATGATCACAGGTGAAATATCTTTTCAAATTTGGGCTCAGGACAACAATAGCTTTCGAATGATAAAAAAAATTCCGTCAAAAATGGCTGGTAAAAAAGTCGAAACTTGTCTGAAGAAAAAAAAACCCACCCGAGCACAAATATTCCGTTACTTTCGTATCGAAAGTCGGAAAAATAAAGCATTAAGCTCAAAAAAGCCCAAGCTCTGAGGAATTAGTCCTGTCTTTGGAGGAAACCTGGAGGAGGGATAGAATGTGCTAACTCCCCCCTCCGGGTCGGATCATTGTGAAATTCACAGGAGGGATACTAGAGATGATTTGACCCGGGCATGCAAAACCCTGGACCCGGGGGACTCCTGGGGCCGATTAATAACGGTTCCCGGAAGTGCCAATTGCCCTATTAGGACTCGGTATCTAGCAATAAGATCGACCCCAAAACTTATTATATGGAAGCCGTAGTTGAGGGAAGCCTAAGTTTAAAACCCCAGACCCTTCGGACACCTACATCCGATTTAATAGCTTGTGCAAATAAACCCCCCTTTGGCTTTCTGAAGATATTTTTTGAACCGTGGTAGTCCTAGGAAGCGGAAACTTGGAGGGTTGGTAGGTAGTGGTAAGACAAGCATGGCGTTTGAGTTTAGACCGAATCCGATGGTCCGACCGGAAGTTATTAGCACTGGAAAAAGTACCCCTGGGACCGGAAATAGGCAATTTGCGGAAAATAATGAGCAAGGGCGTTTTGATTTTATGGTGTTACTGTGTAGTAGACCCAAGCCCTGGAAAAAAAACGTCCGGTAAACAAACCTTCTCCGTTGACTCCTTCCGGTGTTAATAGCCAATCCCCGGTAAAAGTGAGAATGAGCCTTTGAAAAGTGATAACTCGGGGATTATTAATGGGGTATGAATGAACTTGGCAGGTGGGGTCCCTTAATTGATCCTTGGAATTTTTACCCCCCAGATCGGCTCGGAAAAACACGAAAAAATACCTAGCGACAATGCTGATTCCCCAAGAGTATCCTGGATGTGGAAGAAAATGGAACTCTTTTATGGGTGGGGGACTAGCAAAAACTTAGATACGGGATTGGAAAGAGTTAATAGAAAATCCAGTCCTTCATAAAATATCATAGAATATTGGAATTAACAAGAAGGGACCTAGTAAACACTACAATCAGCCATAGCTTGACTATTGGACTAGGAGTAGATATTTGAATGTGCTGCCAAAGTAATCACAGATTTATTGGTGCACAAGTGCAAAAATAATGAGAGCTAATTCATCAGAGTAATATGGGGTGACTGGATATATTATTAGCTTCGGGGGGGGGGGTTGTTTATTGGCTGGATCGGACCCCAGGAGAAGGAACGGCTTTTCCCTAAGGGCTAGGCAACTGAAACTGGAATAGATCACAGGTCAGATTTTTTGGACCTCTATGAGCAGGGACTTAAGCAGATTCGTGGGTTCCTTACCTGCTGTGGGGGGGGGGGGAGGTTGGGGAAGAAATATGTGTGAGAAAAACCAAATAAAACCTTGGGATTGCTGCCATTTAAACGCGAACTTTAGCTGAGGTTCAGATGGACGTAATATTTACTGAATATTTACTGAAGCAATCTGAATAGCCACTGGGAGATTAGCCTTTAGAACTGGTGTACCTAAGGGAACCTTTGGCCTACAGGACGGACGTTGAATGCACCGCAGCGAAGGTCGGGACTTATATGGGAGGAAGTTATTTAATTATACCGGTGTACAAATAGACATACCTGTGGGGGGATTGGTACGCGGCTTTTAGAAGAGAGAGAAAAAACCAAAACCGAGAGAAGTTGATAGTTCCGATAATAAATTTTGAGAGAATAACACTAAGTGCTTGTGTAGCCTGACTGTTAATCTGGGTTTGGATTGAAGTGGGAACCTATTCTAAAAGCTTGAGAAAATGGTTAATTTTAGAGATTGATTTCTTGGGTTGCTTAAGAGACAAAAGAGTTAGGAGAACCCTCCTAAATTGAACTGTGAGATCGTTATATTATTAAACCAGAGTTAATTCCTTATTACGAGCTCTAGCAAATTATTTTGTCATTACTTGATAATTGCATTAACCTGATTTACCTTACGTGTTACGTGTGTTGATTGAATAAAAATTTGCGGGCTCCTTAAGTCCACGCGTGTTCGATTGATTTTAAGAAGAAGTGAGAGTAACAGCGAAAAGACCAAGAGATTTACGCGGGGCTAGCATTTTTTACAGGAGATTATAAAAGAAACACATAGTTTGTAAGCAATTATTCGAACAACCTTGGCCCCCATTGATTTGAAAAATCAGGGAATTCTTAGTTAAAGCAGATTACCCAAACTTACATCAGACAAGAAAAGTGGAAATGTAGCCACTTGTACAAAACATCAATTGAAAAAAAAGAGCTAAGTGGTAAAAACAGACAAACTCAAACAAAAATAAAAAACGGCTATGTATATTTGGTAGAAATTTGTTGTTGCACTAACAATTTTTGGTGGCTTTTAGATCCTCCAAGAAGATATAGCCGTGATTTCGATTTAAATTTTTTTTTAAATGTATCAGTGTCGAGAAGCACTTTCACATTAAATTTCAGTCTGAATTCCTAATCAAGATATTCCTCAGCTTATTTTTGCTATTAATTCTTTTTACTATATAGCATATTAACCAATGCAGACCTCTCACTATTAAAAAAAAGGCTTGAAAATAATCTATGTTTTTTTAGAAATTGTGAACAAATAATTATTTTATACGAAACAGTATGTGAATAAAAACTTGATTTTTCGGATTCAAAAATGTATCTATAACCTCTGAAATGGTAAGTTGGAAATAGCTAGTGAATTCCGTAGATGAATTTGGTATATCCTCCTTTTTCGAAGCGGCCTTACTTTTTTACTGTACTCTATTGCGAATCAATTGAGTCGATAGTTTGCAAGATCTACTTAAATAAATTTCCTATACTTGAATCAGAACCGTTCAGAATTATCCGAAATTTACATAATCTACACTATTACACAACCACAGTATTTGTTGCCCAAATCTAAAAAAATTTAAGAACAAACTCTTGGAATTTAATTTTTCCGCAGCATTCTTTGTTCATGCGATGTTTCAAAATCACCTTTGATGATTTAAATTATATTTAGGCTAAAATAAGCTAGCAGATATTGAGTCTTCAAACAGATCTTGAAACTTGTGTCGTTTCTCCTCGCAACTGACAGAAAATTTGTGAAATATCTTTGTAAAATCCGAATCAAGGTTTAAAAGGATAGGATACCACATCTAACTTTTCGCACGCGTTTTTAAAGAAGCTTTGAAAATATCATCATACACTTTAGTTTTTTTTTTTTTTTTTTTCAGTTACTTTCCACTTTTTGAGTTTACAACAACACGTGACAAAAATTTTAATCGAATGGTTCGCAACTTGGCATGTTTGATGTCAGAATGATTAGTCGAAGTATTCTCCGTTAAGGATCCGCATGGGAGGCGTCTGCTTTCTGCTACTACAACGCCTCAGACATCGTCTCGTCTGAGTTCTCAGTCACAGCGGAGCCGGGCATCTCCGCAAGCGGAAAGAACGAGTTCACTTACAAAATGGAGGTTGCCAGGAGCAGTGACTTCTCCAGCTTCTACACGTAAGTGGCTGCTTTATTACAATCCTTAACATCTATGTCAATATTTCATCTATGTCAACTTTTTTTTATTATCCTGTGATCTTGCTAACTTGCCGTAGATTCGGTTCCTCTTTAGCAAGTTTTCGAAATTATTTGCTAAAATTTGACAAATTTGGGTCTTCATGGTGTTTTGGGAGAAATTGGAAAATCAACAGTTCGGTCCAACTTGTCATTTGTATTGACAAAACCTTAGATTCTACACAGTTTTGTTCTATACTGGGTATCCCAAAAAAGGATCCCAACCGAAATATCTCAACACTAAACCGGAGGGTTTTCATGAAATGTTGCACACACACATACTTAGCAACTCAAAATTCCCACTGTAGTGAAATGCTCGTTGAACTTGGGGAATGAAGTTCAGAAAACAGATGAAGAAAAATGCTTGAACAATAGAAACTCTGTATCGTCTGTTGCTAAAGATGTGTTGCTCATTTCATGAATTTTGGATCCTTTTTTGGAGACACCTGTATAAAAATATAATCTGCTGTTAGAGCGGAAGTTATTGTTCTGTTTAGCGGCAACGAGGTGCCGACAACTATACTCAACTCGGACTTGAATGTTCGGGTCACTTTCCAAGACGACACTCTTGTGAACGGATACACTGTCGTGACGAGCGACTGCTGGGCTACCCAGACTTCGGACCCCGACGACCCTACCCGATTTGCACTCGAAACCGACTTGTCAGTATTAGATCAGTTTATAATCCAATTATCCGTTAATGATAAACCGTTACAGTTTCTTGTTCATGTTTGGATATTTTTCCTTCAAAAAGCCAATATGCACCGATCCGGTTTAACTTGACCATATTTGACAACAAATTGACCCTTTTTTTAATTTGCATCAATCAAGAGACAAAGTTTGAGAGATTAGCATTGAATTTAGAACAAAATCAACAATAACAGATATTTTAAAACATTTTTTCCGTGCTTACAAAAACAGTGTATCTAAAAAGACAATCTCTAGCCAATTTTTTCCTAAAAAATCAACAAGCCTGTTGCAATTACGGCAAAGTATTGATCTACTTTTTACTACTTTAAACCTTTAAATTGAAAAAGTGTAGCAGAGCATATAATAATTTTTCCTTCTGTGTCTATTGGTTTTAAAGACTACAGAATAACTAACTATCTGTTTGCAGATTTGATTCTAGCATGAAAACTATCCGACAGAATGTTGCATCATTGCACAAAAACATCGGGAGACTTGTTTTTCGCAAAGCACAAATTTCGCTGGGATCCCTTTAGAATTTTAAAGTTTGCGAGTTCCCGCGGTAAGAAGGAGTGAACAATCAGAAGTGGGTGCTAGGTAAAAAGACAACTTTATATTAAGACGACAAAGTACTTAGACGAAAAATGAGCATTATAACACATGTAAATTGAACAATTCTATCAGAAGCGATTCTCAGAAATACAATGTGGAGAATTGCGTGTAGCGTCGTCTTAAACCGGGACTTGGGGGATTAGGGTGTGAACAAGCTAAGCTGAAGCAGTTGTGTGAATCAACTTACCCATTTTATCTTGAAACTTTTGAACATTTTTCTTCGAAAGATCATATACTAAACTATGTTTGCTAATTGGTACAATATAGAATACACAATTTGCTACGCGGAAAAGCTAGGCTTTAGCACTAAATGTTTAGAACCTAGTTGTTTTCTCTTTTTTTTCTTTATCACTATATATCATTGAAGATCAGAAAACCATTAGGTCTAACCGTTTTTTGAACAGAGCAATTGACCAAAAGTTAGTTCAAAAATTTCTCATTGTTTAACCCTATGTATTAAATATTGCATAGAAATCGAAAAAAAAACGAAGAAATTTTCGTTCATGTGATCGATGAAATGAAAATATTACAAGCTTAGATCTTATATGTTCCGTGACTGTTGTTTCCGACTAAAAAAAGTTGAAGAATTTTGTTGTTTAATTACCAGGTTGAAAATGAAAAGTTGGAACCTAGTTGGCCTATGACGGTCAAGCTTTAAAATTGACAAAGTTATGACTTGACGAAAAAAGCTTCAAAAGTTATGGCTTATGGGTTATGATTCAATGATAGGAAAATTGTGTGTCGTTTTAGTTGTCCTGATACTGACTCCACGTTCCAGCGAGTTGCCAGCCCCTCTGTTGACATGGAGTATTTCCAGTTCATGGCATTTGGATGGTATCTTAATGGTGCAGTCACCACCAACACCGTCTACCTGCACTGCACTGTACTCGCCTGTCCCCCCGAAGACACCACAGCCTGCGATCTCCCAAGTAATAACCAGAATTAATAACTGGAACTAAACAAATACCAGAAACAATAAGTGAAAAAAGCAAACGGGTAATAACCAGTTACATTAAATAGGAACAAGTTAAAAGCAGATTATAACTGCGTAAAGTTGTAGCAGGGAGTAACCTGGAAACCATTTTTCTGGTGATACCTTTTCGCCGAAACCACTTTTCGTTGATGCGGTGATTCGTCGCAAGGCGAATTAATCAGGATTTTTAGTTCAGTAGCTCTGTGAAACTTTTCAAAAGTTCGTCGAAACAAAAACTGAAGAAAAAAGAAAATCTGCCATTCAGGTTTTTTGATCAAGCAATATAACTGTGCCATCTCCTCTTTAAATGAGCAACACATTTCGTTTGATATCAACTGATTTCTTCTCTGTTTTAGCTTGCACTACAAAACGACAGCGACGTGCACTTGGCGCACTGGCGAATCATCAGTCGGCTGCTCTGAGGTCTGAACAAGAGGCCAAACTGGTGACCTCTCCCCCCATTGTGGTGATGAGGAGGGAAGTGGAGGAGCTGCAGAGTTAGTAAACACTCGGCATCAAGTCTCCTGTTTTTACGGCATCCATTCTTCTTTGTTTCGTGTCTCGTTGCACCGAGCTAAAAATCGTAAAGTAGAAATTATAGAAATTACATTATGATAAATTTATAAAGAGCACAGAAAACCCTGACATTTCGAAGCATTTAATAATTAAGTTTTAGCTTTGGTCATAAGTTGCATTTTTGGGCATACGTAGCTCCTGTTTTTGTAATCAATCTGATGTTCACGAGCAACTACAATTTAGGGAGTCTCATTTTTTATTATATAACACCTAAATTTTTCTAAGGGAGGCAATATCTGCGCCAGTAATGCAAACGAAATCCCAAGAGTTACAAATTTGTCCCAGTTTTGGTTCAACTTAGCAAAAAAATTCTCTGAGAACCTTTCACATTTTTTCGGCTACGTTTCGTTGTTTTGGAAAAGCAAAAAGAGAAATTTGGTTGAACTTAAAAAATCGTCTAAATTTCAACTGAGCTTTTTGTAAATTTTTCTACTTGTTTACAGTCGCGAGGAGTCCCATCAACAACAACTACTCCCCCTTCACCACTGCCCTGGCCTGTGTCTTCAGTGTGGGGGCTATGCTGTCTCTGATCGTGGTGGGGGGACTGTTCTTGTGTCGACGAAACAAGGTATAGCAAATGCTCGATTATTCACTTATTCGAAAAACATATCAAATTGGAAATGATAAATAACGATTCAGTCATGCACCTAGTTTTCAATTCTATGCAGTCTATGAATCCACGTTTTTGAAAATTCCAAATGATCCATTTTTAATAAATTGCTTAATAAATTTTTCAAATAAGTTATAAGAGGGTAGGACGTTATACGAAAACTAGAGCTGGTTATCGCCGCAAAGCAGCGACAAGCGCGTAGCGCGCCCCCCGGCAACCTTAAACCGAAAAGTGTTAAAATTTAGTGGTGTTAAATGGCTGAAGTGTTAAATGGCAGAGAGTGAAAATTTTTGGTGTTAAGTTGATAGCTAGGAGTTATAAGAGCAGGAATCACTTTTTTGTATAAAATTATTTCAGATTCATTTATGATTGGAACATCCATGCTGTTTATTAAGCATGGTTCTTAAATACCCGGTTTTCGATAATTTTTTTTCTAAGATCATAGATGATAACTGTTTTAGATCCAAGCCAACTACCAAAGACTGAGCAGCGGTCCCTCCGATAATTTCGGAATCTAGACTTGAGGAGATGACGTCATCACACGACTAACTCCGAAGCGAGTCCTCTGAAGTGTACATAGACATACAATTTGATTTTATAAGAGAAGAAAACGATCTAGTTGAATATTTCCACTCCTTGCAGAAGAAAACGGAGAAAAACGAGCTCATTTTTTGAAACATATTCCGAATTTTAAAGTCGTAAACAACAAAATATTTTCGTAATAATGGAAATATTTAACTAGGTCACAAAAAAGTAACGCTGTTGTATAGAACCAACTACAATTATATGATATCTATCATTCGGAAACTACTCATCATTTCGACATTTCGAAATTTACAAGAGTGAAGGTCTCGATTATTTTTTACCTGCTTTGTAAATATCAAAAATAAAGCTTTCATTGCTGTTTTTTTCTGAGTTTGCTATGATAGTTGTGTACAGTCAACAGCGAATCTTGGCCACAAGATTCATATTTGATCTAGACTGTACATTCACTGTATATGTTGGAGGATCTAGACTGTAACCGCTTCAAATGGGAGATTCAGAGATTGTGAGGCGAAAACTTGTCTCAAGCGAAAATTCGTCGCAAGCGACAATTGGCGGTATTTTAAGAAACGACAATTCGTCAGAGAGCAGTTTGGTATAGTGGAACCTGATCTAAACTATATTTTATGATTGGATAAATTAAATGTTTTACCAATGTAAAGTATTTAATATTAACCAATCATGATCCATCTAACTAACAACCCACTTATTTGTAAGTGCTGAAGTTACTTGTAATTTCAGCACCAGAGAGATTTGAATTTAACTTAGAAATTAGTTGGACTCTCCCGAGCACTTCAGCAGCCGCAATAAACCAGTATACCCTAGATCTATTGAGCCTAGCAGAGACTAGTTAAACAACCTGAGACTAGATAGTATAAGAGTAAGATTAGGATCGGTATTAGACTAAGAAGTTGCACGAATCTATCCGGCCGAAAATAAGATAGCGTGACGAGCAGACGGTGTACCCTATCCGAAATTACTCTATGAGTTATACACTCCAGTCTTAACTCAATAGTTATTATTTGAGTAATTCAAAATAGATTGACTTAGCAATGCACAGCAACGAAACGGACATATCTTAGCGAGTGTAGGATTCAATATGTGTTGTTTCACGGAACTACTGTGGAAAGAATCCTGATTAAATTGCCATGAGACAAATTGTCACTTTTCTACTTGCGACCAATTGTAGCTTGTGACCAATATCCACTTATAACAAACTGTCGCCATGCCTCAGAGCTTCTTCCTCACGACAAAGGGACACGGTTTTCCGCTTTGCTACTACTTTTGTCGCAGCAAATCAGTTTGACCCTAAAAAACTGACTTAGCAATTATGCAAAAAGTAAATGCAAGTAGCATTAAATGTTCCGACGAGAAAAAATTATTTTGTAAAGGACCAGAAAATTGATTGTTCTGAAGTTTCGGCCGATTTTTTGTATAGTAGACAATAGTATATCTTGGGGCCGGTCAACAGGAGGGGGTATGCTGACCCGAAAGTTTCAAGATAAGCTAAAAATTTCCGGGAAAATACTCTCTTTAGTATGATGAAGAATAAATATACATTTTTTTGGTATTATTGTAGGGAACAGTCAAAAATCCTGGCGCTCAAAACTCCCATGTAATAAGATTGAGATTGTATCTACTTTTTATTTAGGATTACTCTTAGCTCAAATTTTTTGCTGTGTGAAAAGATAGAGCATAGAGTCTAAAGTCCATTAAGATATGGCTTATGAACTTTGTGCATCTTGCCAAGAATGGTATAAAAATTGATATTTTGTATCTTAAACTTCTTAAAACTTTGCCAGTTTTTTAGTACGCATTATCTAGTTGTTAATTTTTGATGGTATGTAAAATGTAGATTAAGAACTTAAAGGTTAAGATCCATGTTTAGGGCACAGCATCCACAATGCTTCAGGTTTGTAAATTTTCAAAAAACAATTGATGCTCAACGTAATTGATATGTCGTCCTCTCAAAATTATCCACATTTAAAACTGAGTATTTTTGCATCGTATCCAAATGTTTTCTATTGATTTTCAAAAACCGAGAGAGTAAGTTTGTATCCCATCGGAATCAACTTCACACGTAGTGTAAAAATAGCTCAGTCCTTTTTTAGTTTGCCCATGAGTTGTAAAAGTGTGGTTAATAGTTTAAAATTTTTTATTTGCTTTCTTCAAGAGGACGGCCTCATCATTTAGTTGTTGATATTTTGCCATCCGTTTGCCTCCAAACTGTTTTTTTTTTAATCTTTAAGGCAGAATGTTTACTACAGAGACACTTTATATCGTTGCATCTAAGTTCCATCGAATCCACACACGTTCTTTTTTGTCGTATTTTATTCTGAGTCTTCAAGTACGAGGAACGAGGGATGAAATGATCTATAAAATGTCGACAATCATTCTTTGAGTTTTACTCGATTCAGCTTGCTTATTGGAAGAAATCGATGGGTAAAACCAGGGAAGTCAAATAAAAAAAATTTTCATGTGTATTTGGTTTCATTCAAATTTGTTCATTCGCTAAATTTGCCAAATAAATTATTTAAGAGTTCCAACTCACTCATTTTGGCGTACTTTAAAATGACGAATGCTTCTGTGATTGGCTGTTTGCGCTCTATAGTTGACTTTAGAAGACTTTCTTCAGAGAAACATTTCATCGCATTATTGAATCGCTTGCAGAATTGTCTGTCAACTTGAGTAGTATTTCATGCACCATATGAGGGGGGTTCAATTACTCAGGGAAATACAGTAAGCTACAAAATAGGTTTTACTAAGGTTAAAGATGAACAGTTTATGATTTCAGTGATAAATTTTAAAATTTGATGGCTATGTGTATGCCTTTTCTGAGATAGTCATTAACTCAGACGTTTTGCCCTGTTTTACTATTGAGTATTCAGATGCAATGTTCTAGGATAGTCAAAAAGATGTTTGTGTACCAGGGAGTCACCTAAAACATAACAGCAATCATCAACTCACTAATATCATCAAAACACTAAATTTTTCCTTTACACAAATTTAAAACTTTATCAAAATTTAAAGTCACTTAATTTTAAAACCAGATCATCAAGGCTTATCCTTGGATCTTAAATCATTTTCTACTTAATTAAATTTTAAACTTGATCATCAAGGCTTATCCTTGGATCAAACAGAACAACTTTGTTCTCCCCCACCCACTTAATTAGTGTCTAACGACCTCAAACGTCGATTCACTATCCAACCCTCTCTAAAAACCCAGGACTAATAGAAATTTTTACACAAAACTAATCATTCAAATTAGGATAAACAGTGAAGAACTTCGGTTATTCATCCTTCACTTGACCCCCCCTCTTACCAGACCCAGGATAAATCTTAGACTTAGTAAGTTTAAAATAGTATCTAACGAACTACTCGCGTTCTAATTATACCTGAACCTTGTGGATCGATTTACTATTCTCCAACCCTTGAACACAATCACTACCCCTAAGTAAGATTAAGTAAGTTAACACCTTAGCTTATACTAGTCACGAGAAAGTAAAAATCATTCTTCGGAATCGATATACTTTTCTCTCCAACCCTGAACAAAAAGACCCAGGTTAAGCTAACCAAAAAATCGTAAGAACTAACAGTTTAAGAAAATAGAAATCATTTAACAACCTTTGCATCCGTCATTCTAAACCTTATGTCATTTAAAAATCTAGGAAATAAACAAACAATCATTTTACACAATTGTGAAATAGATAACAAAAAATACGACCTTGTAATCACACCTCATACACAAACAGTTGGATACATTCGAACAAAACGACAAACACTAAAGAGGAAAATAATAACTAAACAAAGACAAATAACACGAAAAAGATTTTCAAAAAATCGAAACGCATTTTCAGAATCAGAAACCAACAGTTTAGACGAACTTTACAAACTAAAAGAATCAATAGATAAAAATTACCCACAACACGATCAATTATATTTTTCTGACTCAGAAACAACTTCAAATTCATCACAAAGAGGAAAAAGAAGAATAAAAAAACAGTATAAACACAAACCAGTACATTTATACAATTGGAATCAACCAATTCGACACATTAATAATTACATATTAACAGTCATCGAACGAAAAAATGAGTTCAACACACACCCCAGGTGACGAAACTCCAGATGATGATGAAATCTTTCCCTTTATAGTAGATGCAGATACTGATAGAGGACAACACATATTTTGTCAAAATTTACTCGTAAATTTATTTGAACCCGGAATCAGTCCATGTAAAACAGAGTTCCCCGATGTAAAAATCAAAAGACAAATCATAGATCACTATCTAAAAGATATATGCAACATAACACAACAGTATGGAATCTACTCTATAGAATTCACCTCCCCAAACCATAATAATAGAACATATACTATTCAAACAGACGATCTTGATTTAGAATTTTCGAAAGTTTTTTCAGAATATATAAAAAGCATCCAATACCATAACTCACAAAGAGCAAACTCCATATTCACCAATGAAGTTTTCGCAATAATATATAGTTATATTTCGATATTAGAAAATGAACTTCCATTAACAAATGTCTCACCGACAGAAACATCTAAACATTTAAGAGTACGACATGAAATCACACTACTCTCTAGTTATTTAAACATCATTAAAGAAAATTTCACGAAAAACGATGTTTCACAACATACCAAACACGATCTACACAAAATTTTAGCATGGTTCATAATAGATTATTTCACACACAATATTGATTTAATTGCACAAGCAAGAAAAAATTTTAGACCCCAAAATTCGAACGATGATACCGCTATCACAGAACAATCAGATTATGTTTGGGACCCCGAATGGTCTCATCCCGCATTTATAAGCTTTCCACAATCAATCTCAAGTCAAGCAATAGGTACAATATCTTACATAAGAGATTATGTAAGAGTAATACCATTAACAATTGATGCAACACCATTAAACTATAATACATTTTTACCCGATACACAAAATAATAGTTTAAACTCTACAGTTATACACAATGAAAACCTCAATGGAACTAGGAATCTTACTCAACAAGATATCCAGACACCATCACACTTCATAAATGAAGAAATTGTACACACAACAACTACACAACAAAGTATTTCACCAATACGCCCAAATTTAACAACACCAAGAAATACAAACCCTTCACAAACACAGGTAACCTTACAATCAACCGTTAAACCTTCGGTTGCTCCAAAATATTCCCATATGGATTACCAAACATACAGACCCATGACAATACCATCAAAAACACGCAAAACATTCACTAGAAACAACTTTGCAGACCATAATTATAATTATACACATCCATCAAAAACAAATTATCAACCACAAAGGAATTTTAACCAATATACAA